GATCCAGAGGCCTTATGGGAATGCATCATATGATCTAGGTTCCCCCCTGATGCCTCCTAACCCGCGTAGTTGGATACTGACGCAGGAACCCACATTGACGCAAAAAGATCCCTGATCGCCGCAGGTGGTCCCATGATTGAAATGCAGATCCCAGTCGTTCGGGCCCTTCAGGCTCTTCAGCCTTCCAATTGGCCCTAGGTCTATGGTCCTGAGTGTTCGTCGGTCCTCTTCGGGCCTTCTCAAACAAGGCCCGTGACCGACTCGCAGTCACCTGCCGACACATGACCCCTGACCTCTGGCCGGCACAGAGGCCCTCATTGTTTCAGGGATCCAGACTGTTGCAGTTCGCGGGTTGCGGCCTTGCTGTTGTTTGAGAAATGGGCCCCAAGCCCCAGACCGGCACGGAGCCGACTGTTCGGTGTCGGTAGCTTCTGGCCGGCATAGAATCCTGCATTGTCTCTGGAGTCCTCAACTGGTGCAAGAAGCCCTCTGACTGTCATTTGAGGGCCCACTCCCATGGGCCAGGGCTCCTAAATATGACCCCAGCATCTATTCCTACCCTTAGGCCCTTCAATCGGACTATTGATCGTCGGTTCCAGCGGGCCGTCCGGTCTCTCTTCGGGCATCTCGAACACTGCCTCTCACCGATTCGGGCCCCCTTGCCAACACAGGCGTGGCCCTGCTTGGGAAATGTGCCCTCAGACCCATACCGACACGGAGCCAACTGTGCGGCACTGATGGTGTCTGACCATCATCTAGGCCCTCATCGACCCAGGGGGCCCCGATCGGCGCAAAGGGCCCCAGGGCTCTCGGGCCCCTCAGGGACACGTACCCTTGTGCTCCTTGCCTCCACCATTACACAGGGCAAGCGAAAAGGACCCAACACCAATGTGATGGACTCTGAACGATCGGGAGCGTCCGGCGTGTTGCCGCGTTGCCATAGCATGTTGCCCTGGCTAGAGCCCCGGCCAGAGTGCAGGACCCTCCGAGCAGACGAGAGGAGCACAGTGTCCCTACACAATGGCCCTGATAAATCAAGAGTGCCCCGGCGTGTAGCTAGTAGGGCCCAACAGCAGCGTGGGCTCTCCGACCAAATGCAAAGAGATCAAGGGCAACATGGAAGGCTCCTTAACGATCGGCTTGACCTGGCGAGTGAACCACCAGGGCCCCAGGGAACAGTGCAAGGCTCTGGCAAATCTAATGAGACCCCCAACATCTCTAAATAACCCACCCCTTTCAATCAGCGAATAACTATTTTTGTCTGTTCACGGGCCCTTCACTTTGCTTGCGACCATCTTGGTCGTCTGGAGGCCAAACACGTCCAATTTGATTTGTGCTTTGTTCTAAAAAAAAACTACGTTTGCACGGTTGGCTACGGGCTCCTTTGGAGTCGCGGGCTCCTTCGGGCCCCAAAGGGGCATGGCCCCGCGCCCCCTCCCCTCTGGATCTGCCACGCATAACAATGTATTCCATGAACCCAAGATCATGGGGGGTAAGACGTCAAATGACGTAGCGCTCGTCTTCGAGAGTAGCTCCTCATGAGCAAAGCTCAAAACACGACAAATTCGGACCATCTGCCATGCCCTCTGATTGGTTCTCAGGCCAGTTCGTCACGCCAAAGGCGGGGCTTAACAACCGCGGCGAGTGGAGGTTCGTCGTCAACATGGAAGAGCTAGACGTGCGCTACACTCAGCTGGTTCGCGCCGAGCGCTGCATGTGAGTCCACCGGCCGGGCCGACCGACCAATGGCGACACGCCTCTGAGGTATGACGCTACAATGACGTCGGAAGTCCGTGACGCTGTAGGTCAGCTGTGTGATCATCTCTCTGCTGTGGTTTAGCATTGCTCGATGGCCTTGTGACGGGAAAACAACGCCGGCTACCGATGATCATAACGCCGGCCTACCGATGGTCATAACGCCGGCCTACCGATGGTCATAACGCCGGCCTACCGATTATCATAACGTCGGCCTACCGATGGTCATAGCGCCGGCCTGCCAATAGTCATAACACCGGCCTACCGATAGTCATAACGCCAGCCTACCGATGGTCATAACGCCGGCCTACCCGATGGTATTATATTTGTCCAAGGAGTCCTTATCTATACGTTGAAGAAGACCCACGATTCTCCCTTACCTCATTATATTAAAGCCTCAGGTTCAACGCCATGGTAACGACACAGGCCTCTGGTGATGACACATTGCACCTGTAATTCTGAGATATCTGGGGCAGGCGAAGATGTGGCAGGAGGCAGAAAACCGGTACTATGTCTTGAAAGAGTTAGCCTTTTCAAAATAAATTTACGTACTATTTTTGTGTTCGGTGAGAGCTTATAGTGTTTATCTTTCTGCTACGTATGACAATGTCTTTATAAACTAGAACTGGCCGCAACATGGAACGGCGTCCCTAGAAAGCCCGCTTTTTAACTATAGTCGGCGATCCAGTATGTAACACTAGGCTACAGCGAGTTCATCAGTGTTAGTTTAAATCGTTCGCTTGTGCCTATGATTTGTTAACAATTTGATCAACCTTAGTGGCATTTATCGAGTCAATGTTGTGAAGAAAGCATCCATGGCATCTAATAAGATCCGATATTTTCCAGGACGTATGCATAGTGCCGGGCCAAGAGCGTTAACTCTCGTGAAGATCACGGGCCACCCATCTGTATCACATGCCTTGTTCTGTGACGTCTGTGGTGACCTCTCCCTGCCACCCACCTTGTCCAATGACCTCTCCATGCCCCCTCTTGTCCGTTGCGGTCAGTTGTGACCACTCCCAGCCACCCCTTGTCCATTGAGGTCAGGTGTGACCGCTCCCGGCCCACCCCCTCGTCCGGTGACGTCTGTGGTGACCTCTGGCCCGTCCGGTACCATCTTTGATGACCTCTGCTGTTACCCCAGATCGGACCGCTGCTTGGGTCTTTGCACAGTTCCTGCGGGCATGGCGGCCACGTGCCAGCAGCAGTACGTGCAGAAGAAGATGGTGGGCCTTGACCCAAGTGGCTCGCAAGTCTACACCGACCTTTACTGGATACCGCACTGTTGCGTCTGTCAGATTAGCTAGCCGCCGGCCGGGCTCGATCCCGCTGGAGAGCGGGCGCCGCCGGCCGGGCTCGATCCCCGCTGGAGAGCGGGCGCCGCCGGCCGGGCTCGATCCCCGCTGGAGAGCGGGCGCCGCCGGCCAGGCTCGATCCCCGCTGGTGACCAGACGCCGCCGGCCAGGCTC